CTTTGGGCGGGGGGCTGGACTTAATGATCTTCTGAGGTCCCTTCCAACCCTAATGTCTATGAAATCTATGAAACGCTTAATTATACATGCACACAACACTTGGTAAAAAATCAGCCCAAGTTAGGGAGTGCAAGCAAGGCTCTCTGTGCTAAGAGGTCCTTAACTCCCATGCTCAATTGCTACTGATACACCTTTCCTCCAAGAATTGATCAAATAACTTTTTTAATCTGGCTAAACTGTCAGCTTCCACAATATCTGGTGGCAATGAGTTCCATATTTTAATTACACACTATGTAAAAAGAACATCCTTTTGTTAGTTCTAAACCTGGTACCTACTAGTTTCATGTTATGACCCCTAGTTCTTGTATTGTGAGAGATAATGTATAATAAATCCCTATTTACTTTTTTTTCACCATTTAGTATTTTGTAAACTTTTATCATGTCTCCCTTCATGCATCTTGAAGAGATTGACATCATACATCTGGACTTTAAAAAAGCCTTTAATCTGGTATCCCGTGATCTCCTCATGGAAAAACTGGCCAACTGTGGCCTTGGCTACACCACAGTCTGATGGCTGGGAAACTGGCTTTGAGGTTGGACCCAGAGAGTAACAGTCGATGGATGTGAATCATTATGGTGCCCCGTGACCAGTGGTGTCCCCCCAAGACTCTGTCTTTGGACTGGTTCTCTTTACCATCTTTATCAACTATGTGGACATCGGTGTCAGAAGCGCACTGGCCAAGTTTGCCAATGACACTAAACTTTGGGGCATAGCGTCCACACGTGAGGATAGGCTAGTGATCCAGGCCAACTTGGATAAGCTTAGTAAGTGGGCGGATATAAACCTGATGACGTTCAGTACCAAAAATGCAAGGTACTCCACCTCAGGGGCAAAAAAATCCACAGCATGCTTATAGGCTCGGTTGTGCTACGCTCGCTAGCACCATGACTGAAAGAGACTTGGGGGTCGTGACTGACCACAAGATGAGCACGAGCTACCAACGTGATGTCGCAGCTGGTAAAGCAAATAAAACTCTGGCATGCATCCATAGATGCTTCTCAAGTAAATCTCAGGATGTCATCCTCCTGCTGTACTTGGCCTTGGTGAGACCGCAGCTGGATCCAATTCTGGGCTCCACAATTCAAGATGGATGTCAAGAAGCTTGAGAGAGTCCAGAGAAGAGCCATGAGGATGATCAGAGGGCAAGAGAATAGGCCTTATGATGAAAGACTAAGAGCCATGGGACTCTTCCGCCTGGAAAAGTACAGGCTCAGGGGTGACCTGGTGGCTGCCTATAAGTACATAAGGGGTGCACATCAGGATGTGGGGGAACATCTGTTTACCAGAGTGCCCCAAGGGATAACAAGGACCAGAGATCATAAACTCCTCAATGACCGTTTTAGGATGGACATAAGGAAAAACTTCTTTACTGTCCGAGCCCCCAAGGCCTGGAACAGACTTTCTCCAGAAGTGGTGCAGGCACCTATTCTGGATTCATTCAAGAAGAGTTTGGATGCTTATCTTGCTGGGATCCTTTGACCCTAACGGACTTCCTGTCCCTGGGGCAGGGGGTGGGACTTGATGATCTTCAAGGTCCCTTCCAGCCCTAATGTCTATGAAATCTCTTTTCTAAAATGAATAAGCCTAGCCTCTTTAGTCTTTCCTGCCATTACGTACACTTGCTCTGCTCTGTGCTTTCTCTAGTTCTTCTATATCTTTTTTGAGGTGTGGGTACCAATATTCAAGGTGTGGATGCGCTATGGATTTATAAAGGGGAATAACGATATGTAAAATTATAGCTATGATTTAATCACAGAGCTCTAATTTATCAGTATGATATAACTGTGAAATACGGTTCTCTGACTTCTTGTCAACCAGCAAAGATAAATTATAATCACATCTGGGTTTTTGGCCATAGCTGAAAAACATACAATGGCCTGATCCTGCACTACTGGAATCAGTGGGAGCTTTGCTATTATTTTCAATGGATATGAGATCAAGCTCTGAAAGATTTACAAAAAATATTCTTGGATTAGTTTCTTGTGGTAAAGCAGGTTCTTTTTTGGTTTTTGCATTTAAAATATGCATAGATCTGTCATTCATCCTCATACATACAGCTTGTAAAGCTTCCTCCTTCATGTTATGGACATCTAACTCTTGCTGTTGAGCATCTAATTCCTTAAAAAGAAAAAAAAAGTTAAAAAAATTAAAGTTAAGAATTACCAACAGAAATAAATCACTTTTCTATTTGACATATTTAATATTTGCAAATGCAGTAAATCATGTAGCTATACTTTTTAAATGTATGAGAAAACAGGTTGAGATCCAGTCCCCAAATAGCTCTAATGTAAGTCTCTGATGACTTCTTTACAGTGTTATGGTCTACTTTATGTGAATAACCTTCATATTCTTATTTGTATTTTGCCAATAATTGTGAATCATTTTCACCTCTCTTGTTTTTTTCTTAAAGGGACAGGCAGATTAAAAATTACCTTTTAAAAATATCCTCTTTTTTATTGTAAATATTTAGATCACTTAACTTGAAAGAATTCTAAAAATCTAAGCAACTTTTTACAATTTATATACTTTTCCTATTTATTCAGTTTTGGAAACAAACAAAAAAACCCTACTCAGATTCAGCTTTCATCGCTCTCTTAAATAAGTAATCCAAAATTTTCCAGCTTGCTGGGGCAAGTTATTTATGCTTGGATCCTGCAAACATTCATAAATATGCTTAATTTTTACTATGTGATTAAAGTTAATCATGTCAGTGTTTGCAGAATTATGTCAGAGTTGCCCTATCTGTAGGAGGATAATAATGAAGGGTAATGAGGATAATTTAGTCTTTTGTAAGCCAGTTTGAGATATACAACTAAAGATTAACAGTAGTAGTAATAGTAGGCATCTGTCTGTCTCACAAGACAACAGAACTGTACGAAGTCAGGCATCAGCTTGTTGTACATCTGAGTTGTCACTGTAGAGCCCAATTCATGAGTGACAGCACCTTCCGCACTTATCACATGTGACATTCATATTAAACAATACTAAATGTGGTGCAGGGTTCTTCCTGAGATTTCTTCTTTTCTTTGCATGTTGGGATCTTCTTTCCTCAAAAGCCTTCATTTCATACGTAATAGATTGTTTCCAAGCACTAAAAATTACTAAATATTATTTTATTCCTAATCAGTTTCATTTTCTGATCCTCACGCACTAACACGGGGTGCTCAACCCTAGACCTCTGGCACCTTGTCATCTAGTCTGGGTTCATGGGAAGCCCCATGGGCTGTAGCCCTGCATGCTACATCTGGTGGGCAGGGCACTACAGGTTTGGAAAGTGGTGGTGGAGGGCCCTAGAGCCCAATCCCCACATGCAGAGCACGGTAGAAGTGGTGCAGGGGCCTGGGGAACCAATACCACTGCGCAGGGGTGGCAGAGCTACTCAGGGCCTCCTCCGGGTGCGCAGGGCCAGGAGGAGATGATGTGAGGTGCTGGGGCCCTGATCCCAGTGCACAGGGCTGGGCAGAGGCAGCACGCGGTTCCAGTTTCCTGATCCCAGCACGCAGGGCTACACAAGGGTGACACAGAGTCCTGGGGCCCCAATCCTGACACATGAGGCTGGGTAGGGGCAGTGAGGCGTGGATCCAGACATATGGGCCTGATCCTGGGGTGTGGAGTATGATCTGGCCAGCAGCCTGGTCCCAAGCCACTCATTTGGCTTGTGGGGCCACAAGGTTCAGCGCCACTGCATCAACACAAAGTTTTGTATTAAAATACCTGGGTTTTCTGTGAAAATAGTTGTTCTTTAAATTTTCCAATATTTTTGTGTTGTACATGGAAATTATGGAGGTAGTTTCAGCAACATTTTAGACAAACAGGAAATACTCACCTGCAACAATTTTTTATTTGTAGCCTTCATCTCCATATATTTAGCTTGATCTTCCTGAGACATATTTTTTATTATATCATCTGCTACTTGTTTTTCACGCTCTATATCTCCTTCCACACCTTGAATTAACTTTTCCTTGCTGTAAGGGAAAGGCAAGTGCAGGTACTTTTTAAACATAAACTAGGTACTAGTTATCATTTTTATCTGCAGGGAAAAAGGTACCCATTCCAAACTCTTCCTTCATTTCCCACTCCCCTGAAACAATCTGATTTCACAAAAAAAACAGGCAATGACCTTTTTACCCTCCAGATTAAAATATGCTCCATCAGACAGTGAAGCGCTACACCATTATAGGGTTGTTTTTCCTCTGAAACATATGTATGATACACTGTATATTAAAGACAGCTCAATTATTCTTTTTTAACACATGCTGGAAATCAATGTAAGTTCTGCACACAAAACAAGGTTAATTTAAAATAACCATTGCATGGTTACACCCTCTGCATGCTTCTTAAATAAAGGATGACAGTGGGCGCATCTACACAAGATGCTACAAGTGCAGTAGACTAATTCTAATACACATTAGCTCGACAGGCAAAAATTGTACTAATGTTCTAATGTACAGTAGAATGAATCAATCTATTGAGCATCAGCATCCCAAAAAAGCATGTGCCAGTGCTACTGCGCAATAGCACTGATTACAGTGCATTAAGTTAGTACCTGTTATTACAGGTATTAAACGTAATGTGTCGTAATTACAGCGCATACATGCATGTGTAGATGTGCCCTGTGTGACTGATTTAAGCAACTGTTAGAGAGAGTAGCTTCATTAAGCAGATTTTATTTACAAATTGGCAAATTATAAAGAGGACAATTTCAAAATATAGATTTTTTTTTAAAATGTGTATGACTATAACACTTTGTGATGGTACTTATTCAATGACGGGATCCCATTTACAAAATAAACTTCTTCCCACTCTCTACATTTCTTTAATTGATCCCAACCTTCTTTTCTCTGTAAACTTGCTGCAGTGTCTCAATTTGATTTCTCCTGTGCAATCTGGACATGTGAGGCCTAATAATTGTTCTGCCAGACTTCCTTATTGCGGGTCGATCCAATTAAGCCTTAGACAAGGAGAAGAAATTGCTCAACCTAGTCAATATTTTGCTAAAGACGTTCTGCCTTTTCTTTTTTTTCAAAACTACCTGTTTGTTCACTGAGTACAAAGGTTGGAACAAAGAAAAATGCTGTCTCACCACATGACTTCTTAATGCACAGGAAAATGCACAAACATATGTATGCTGTTTCGAGAAACAACAATAAGGTAAGAAACTTTACAGAATCTTTTAAGTAACCAATGTACTATCGCATGTGTATAGAAAAAGCCGTTGGTTCCATAACTTAGTTGGTAGACTGGAAATAAAGCATACATTAATGATATTTTGGGTACCTGAACTGATCTGAACCTTGGAAAAGCTAAGTCACTAAGTAAGTTATTTTTTGTTAGATGACTAAAAGGCAGATTTTTGACAAATTGTTTATTTTGACAAATTGTTTATTTCCTTGAAAACTGAATTTTCCACCAGTTTCAATTACTGTAGGCAAGCAGAGTACATCATGAGGACAAGAAATCTTCTAAAAAGGCCATTTATGAGATATTGCAAGCATGTATCTGTGAGCTCAGATAAGAGGAGAATGTTGTGATATTAAGTGTACTTCCAAACACTTTTTCTCAGTTTGCTTTATTAAAAAAATCTATAACCTTATTTTTTTTTTTATATTTTCTTCTGTTGATGTTCACAAGACTGTTTTAACTTTGGAAGCAAATGATTATACAAGGAAGATGTGGCTGATGAATGTTGACCATTAGACATAAAAGTAAGGTTAGCAGGCCTCTCCTTGTATCAGAGATATATAAATCCTGTTTAAGAACAAAACCTATAAATGAGTTGGGCCAGCCAACCAGGTCCACCAATGGCTGAGTTTGTTATGAACAAATCAAATGACCTAGTAAACATGTGTCCGCTTCCTCCTCCCCATCCCCAAAATATACTGATTGCTTTCTCATATATACAGGACAACATGTTTGGAATGAAATGATTTTTCTGGTGGGCAGTTTATGTATTTGTATGAGCTGAAAAACTTTGGGACCTGTTTATATTATTTTTTGCTTAATTTAGCAACTATCACCCTAATTTCTGAGTTACAATAATGTTCCTAGTTTGGACGGCTAAAATGACTGCTTAAAGTTTGCCCTTTTTGCTTTCTAAAGAGCAAGGCTAAGTACAGGCATTTGGGAGGTTAAATCGGGTTCAAAATGGCTGCCTGATTTAAACTTAGATGGTCCCACTGTCAACCTTACACTTCCAGACCTGTTCTCGGTGACTGGAAATCAGTCTAAACCTGTAACAGAACAGAAGTTCCATGCACGTAAACTGGTTTAAAAATTGCAGAACCTAGTTTAAGATAAACCTGGACCCATGTAGTATCAATCAGACTCATCTGATTTAGGTCAAACCAGTGCATGGAACTTCTGTCCACTTCCTCTGTGCAGCCCCAGGGCTAGAAAAACCCAGACACTGGTCCCAGCCCTGGGGTTGCTCTTTTCACTCACCCCTTCTGCTGCACTGGTCTATTTTTGTGCCCCAATCCCTGGTGCTTTGCTCCCCACCAGCCAGCGATCTCAACCCCCATCCCACAATTCACCCTGGCTGAAGCCATTTTTATCAGTGTTTGCCAGTGCCAGAGCTGAGCAAGTAAGACCCAGTGGGGGGAAGGGCAGGGGGGATGGGGTGTAGTTTTGCTGGGGGACTCCTCTCTCTTGTGGGTTGTACCTGCCCTTCCCACCCACCTGCTGGTCGCACCTTCCCCCTACCCCTGCTCCTCCCACCAACTGCAGGTTGTGCCTACCCCCCCACAGGTCGCGCCTGCTCCCCCTACTCTTTCTGAGTCATACACCTGCCTCCACCTCCTATGGCGGCCCCTCAATCCCCTCCAGCCTGCTGGACACCCAACCCCCTGGTTAGCCCCCTCCATCCTGACTTACCGGATATCAGGCAGCCACTTTGAATCGATTTAAACTTCTCCTAATGCCCTTGGATGTCTGTACAGCCCTAATTAAGAGCTGCCTGTAAACTTCAGATATGTTGTAGTTGGCTGCAGTAGTAACTGCACAATCATTTGAGAATGTGGTTTTCAAGCAGGTGGACAGATTTTTGAAAAACAGCAGATATGTAATGTACATGGATGGATATATGCAAATCCTGGCTGCTGGCTTTCTTCATCTTTCCAATGGGAACAGTTTGAAGGAGCAACCAGCTAAGTAAGATTATATCTTGTATCAGAGATACTTAAGTCCTGTTTGAGAACAAAACCTATAAATTAGTTAGCCTAGCCAATAAGGTTTGCCAATGGCTCACTTTGCTATCAAACTGCCTGACTGGTGAAGCCTCTTTGCCCTATATTCACCCTATATTTGCCCATAAAGCCTATTTGCCCTATATCAATCCAGATACCTGAAAGTCTTTTTCTTGCCTCTGTGTTTGGCTGTATTTCTCTATGAAACACTTCTATTTCTCCCTTATCTACTTGCTAATATTACAATAAGTATGTTATGGTGTGCCTTTCTGGGTAACCTTCCTTTCTAAAATATAGGAAGTCCTGTCATACTCAAAGTCCACTTGTCCAGGAGCCAATCTAAGGAGTGGCCAGCACAAGATGCTTATAGGTAGTATAAAATCAACAGACAGCAAATTGTGGGATAATCCATCCCAAACATAAGGTCTCATCTTAATTTAAATAAGTAGATATTATCTTAAACTCTGAAAAAAAGATTTAATATCCTTTTCAGAATTTTCATTAACAGTAACAATTATAATTCTGGTATTATAGTTATGTTTTTCTTTAAAAATCTCAATTTCTTTTTTGAAGCTTACTAAATTATTAGCTTCAAAAACTGCCTTTGGGAACAAGTTCAACAGTTAAACCACTATTTTTTTGGGGGGGTGGGGGGGGGGGG